GGAGGGACCTGGCGAACGAGCGCACCTGACATCCGAGCCCCGTGGAAGCAGCTCGTCTTTCCGGTGCATTGTCTGGCGGCGGGGGTGCTGTTATGCCAGCGAGTCCTCGTCAAACGTCCGTGCCTCTGAAAAAGGCAATCTGGGTCAAGGCCAGCCCGCAGTCCGCCTGGCGCGATCAACTCGACGGCATGAACACGCGCGGCGCCCCTCTGGCCCACGTGCAGTGAGTCAGCTGCGCACGTGACAGCGAGCCGGCGTCCTCGTGTCTGGTGGTCTGACGCATGGCGCGGCAACCCCATTGGAGGAATCTGCCCTGACGACCAGCGGCGCTTCTGATTGGACATTTTGGTTGGACCCGGTGTAAATAAAAGAAGCCCTGCGGCGCGTCGCGATCGGAGGTCCTATGAGAGAGGAGTCCCCATGTCGGAGAGCCGACATGTGTGTGAGTCGGCGGTCTTAGGCGAAAAGTTGACCTATGTGTTAGAGAGGAGAGCTCGGCTCTTCGAGTCTCTGTCGGCCCCAGTGCCGAATTTGTAATGCCTCTGTGTATATGCTGTACATAAACCTTGTTTAACTCACCGTCGTCTCGTCCGCTCGTCTTATCAGCTCTGCGCAGAAGCAGTCGCGGGCTGAGAAACATACGCTACCAAACGGCTGGTGACCCTCCTGGCGGAGTTGGAAGCAGTGGCGCCTTCGAGGCCGTGTTGGCGTCGCCGTCTTTCGCAACAGTGGTGGCTTCGGCGGGATCGGTCCGTCGTTCGCAACAACGTGCACCTGAATCGAAGTGCATAGCCCTCTAGTATTTAGACTTAATGCTGTGGCCCACTGTCAATGGTTTTTTTTTACATAGGCAATCGAATTTCAAAGAACAGGAACGCAAAAGAGCTGTATGAACAGAAGTCCCGCAAGATTCGGGCATCGCGCTCACGTCTCTGCCGTGTGGCATCGCCTTAGCGGCTCAACTGGTGATTTACTTGCACACTCGTAATAACCTTCGCTCACCCTCTCGAGAAATAACTCCCATTACACAAAATTAACCGCGTAAATTCCGTTTAACATTGCGCGAAGGCTCCGTTACGATGCGGCGACCGGTCAAATGGCGTCGGAAGTGCCACCTATAGAGCGGGAAACGAAGGGGGCCGCGTTTCGCCGCCGCATCCAGGCGGAGTTTGCAAACTGGGGTAATCTAGTAACGTTGACTGGCACGTTGGTGCGCGTTCCTTGCGGTGCACTTGGCAGTGTTTCCGCGCTTTTATGGGACGCAGACAGCGTTCTCGCTGACAAGCACCACTTGAGAGAGCTCAGCTGATGGGCGTCTCTTGCACTGCTATTGTATGCGGTCATGACTGAGTGCGTGCCTGCACTCAGTGAAACGACAAACAAATGAAAGAAGATATCTCTTGTTTCAAAACAACGCCCAACTTAGTCGACCGTCCTTAACGCGATGACTGGTTTCATCGCAACCAACAAAACGCAGCGCGCTAAAGGGTGGATTTGACGTTTTCGTACTGTTGGCTCGTTCATAAGGGGGTGTCGCCAGAGCTCGGCAAAATCCCGATTTTCGCGAAACTCGGCTGATCCTCCACAGCGCCCCAGTGCTCCAAAATATTTTTATATCAATGATGGTTTGATTTATCCGAGTCGGATATAGTCGCTTTCGACCGTTAAGTTCATGTCTGTTGTGTTTTACCTTTTATTGCGAAGGAGGCTGCTGGGTTCAATGCCGGAACGTCAAATATATTTTAACCTCAGTCAGTGTCTTGCAAAGTGTACACAATGCGAATGTCTCATCACTTCAACGTGCCTTTTTTAAGTCAAGCCATGGCAGCTCGCCAATACACGCCGCTGGGCTACATGCGGTGAGGTGATTCAGTGACGATCATGGTCATAATACGCAGTTGAAGGGGACACGCCTGATAAACGTGATTAACATAATCGATGGGGCACGATTTGCGGCGTCAGAGTTTGACTTTTGTAATTTTGGAAAATTTTGTTTTCGCTAAAACCGCCTCGGTATTCGTTTCGTGCACATCACTTTTTTTTTTTTCCTTCCTGGCAACAACGCATAATCTGTCGGCCTGCCGTCGAAGCAAGTGCGAAGTCCGTGTTGGTTTCACACTTTCGACAGGATGCACCGACAAGCTTCAAGGTTCAGGCAAAAGTTCCCCCAAACCGAGTCGATAAGGCCGTTCCGCCATTTGTCGAGACGCCTCCGGCCCGCATCTTGTCAGTTTTTGTCTCGAAAGGCGGAAGTGAAACGATGTGACGAATCCATAACATCCGGATGCGTTGCCTTGCTTATTTCATAGTTGGCAATACGCCTATCATTCGCTCAGCTCGGTTGGTCGCTTCTTTCGTGTTTGCGCAAGCGCGTGCTTTTAAAGCTATCGCGCTTTGCCGTAGTGTAACCGCCTTGGCGTTCTTACGCTGCAAACTTGAAAGAAGATGTTCACTTACGAGGTGGTCGCAAACTTCTAACCCTAAACATGACCGTGTCGCAGACCTGATGCCCTTCGACGTGTGAAGAGACGATGATGTGAACAAGTGCACCTATTAAATCATAGAATTCATACTTTCGGAACCATATTGGCTTTACAAGTGCGCTTCACATTATATGGGGGAATAGGGGGCACCACAATGCTTGGCCGCGGAGGCCTGCTCCAGAAATTCGGCAGAGACAAACAATAAACGCGATAGCGGTGGCCTAAATTTGACAGTGTATTTTTACGCGTCGTTTATTCGAGTGGTTGTGTTTCTCGAAGCGACAAGGCCCATCGAGCTCTATATCGACTTTTATGCGCCAAATGGACCTGGCCTGCCATTTGTAGACATATTGTTTAATTTTTCTTGTTCACTTAGGCGTCTCTTAGTCTTTGTCATTTTTTTTTTGCTTTCCTCTCTCATTTCTTCTTTCTCCCCCTTCTACTTTTTTCCTCCATCTCCTCCCGAAAGATTATGGAGGCATTGCTGTCCCTCCAGGTGGCAGTTGCCAGCTTGCTCTCTCCCTCTTACCTCTGTGTTCTTGTGTACCCGTGTATGCAAATCGAATAACTAAATCAATATTCGAGAAGCGCGATTTCGTATGTTTTGAACTACCGAACCACACTCTTAGTATCCAACCCGGTAGGTTGAAATTTCTGGAGCCTTCCACTAGAGCGTCTTTCATGATCATATTCGTTTTGGGACGTGGAAACCTACATATCAATCAAGTAAATCAATGTCCAACCAGGTAAAGGAGGGGGGGGGGAGTAATATTCCCGCCTATCAAGGGCAAGTTCAGAGGAGGCGGGTTAGACTTTTGTGACTGACGACTCTGTGAGTATTTGTAAATTAATTCAATTCCGTAATATCTGGCGCATACCTCAGAGAATGTAATAAAATCACACCACATAACTAGCAAATCGTCACATTACTGTTTTGTAGTGATAAGATGAACGACGTTAAAAGACTCGTTGTTTAAAATGTTTCACTGTAATGCGAGCCTCTGAATACCATATTACGTTACGTATCTCAAAGACTTAAGCAGTACTTTGGTTGCAGTTTCTTCAAGAGCCCCTAGAAAGTGACTGAAAATAGAATACAAAGAAGAAAAACAAACGAGCGCTTTATTCCCTCCTGGTGTTTCACGCGTTCTCGCGGCACAAGCTGTGACGTCCACAGATTGTTCATGTGACGTCAGGACAAATTAAGCTCTCGATTGGTAAATATACTACGAGGTAAACATGTGGCGAATCGTTCCGTGCTCTACTTTTAAATTCAGTGCATGCCCGTTCTGCCTCGAATTGCATGACTATCATGCACGATCAACTGATCTCTCTTGACTTTCTGCGTGTGCGACTGCGCAATCATGGATTGCGGTGTATAGTCGAAAAGCACGTAAGGCTGACTGATTGATTTGCAGGGTTTAACGTCCCAAAACCACCATGTGATTATAAGAGACGCCGTAGTGGAGGGCTCCGGAAATTTCGACCACCTGGGGTTCTTTAACGTGCACCCAAATCTGAGCACACGGGCCTACATTTCCGCCTCCATCGGAAATGCAGCCGCCGCAGCCGGGATTTGAACCCGCGACCTGCGGGTCAGCAGCCGAGTACCTTAGCCACTAGACCACCGTGGCGGGGCGAGGAACTCCACCAGGCTCCGGAGCGCTGGTAGATGGGGACGAGAAGGGAACAGCAGGTGCTCCAGGGTAATGGCAGGAAGGCCATGTCTCCGATGGACTGCGGTGACCCCCGAGCGTTCCTGGGCCAAGGGAGGGCAGGCACAGAGGAGGTGCTCGAGGGTCTGAGTGCTAAACAGTGTAGTATACAGGGCTATGCGATGCTTTACTCTGTCCCCTCTTTCTTGTTCCTCGTCACCCTTACATCACCTCCCTCTCAGTGCCCTTTAGCGCCTACTTGCTGTGTGCTCCTTGCTAAACTATACATGACGTGCTCCCCCGTCTTCCCTTTTATCCTACTTACTCGCCCTCTCATCTCTTCCACACCCTCATTTCTTTTTCGCACCTCTCGCTATACTATACTAAGCATGGCTATGCGATGCTTTACTCTCTCCCCCTCTTCCTTGTTCCTCGTCACCCTTACATCACCTCCCTCTCAGTACCCTTTAGCGCCTACTTGCTGTGTACTCCTTGCTAAACTATACATGACGTGCTTTCCCGTCTTCCCTTCTATCCTCCTTACTCGCCCTCTCATCTCTTCCACACCCCCATTTCTCTTTCGCACCTCTCGCTATACTACACTAAGCGTGGCTATGCTATGCTTCTTGCTGAGCTATTCGACTTTAGACAAGACAATGCCGTGATTTAAACTCTCCTCTTCTGGTTTCTTTTCTCCTCACCTTCGCATGACTCCGCTTCCCTCACACTTCTTTCCCACCCCCTTGCTATATATGATACGCGCGGCTTCACTGTTAAAAATAGAAAAAACGTTTAGCTGCCTTATTCTTGCGTTTAATGTCATTATTACATTCTACGTTCTGTTTTTGATCTGCAGGAGCTCCTGATGCTACTGTAATATGCTGACGGCGACCGACTACAACCAGGCACACCGTGCGACACATCATAATCGAAAGAGGCCGATGGAGCAAAGAAGGAACCTTGGACATCTGTTAGCTGTCACATTGCTTACACTGAATCTCACTAATGTGTTGACTTCCGAAGCTGGTATCGCCATCGAGACGTTTCAAACTCTTGTAGGACCAGCACAAAATATTCTGTACCTCAAGCTTTCGCAACACGAAGGTGTCGTCATCGTAAGCGTGCGAAACGCCCTCTACGCGCTATCACCGGGCGGCCTGTCAGTCAGGGCAGTTTACAGGACTGGCCCTGAAAACGACAGCTTGATGTGCCCGCCATATCCTCTGCCCTGCAGCCACAACCGGAATTTGACAGACAACATCAGCCGCATCCTGCTGCAAGTCGGCGCCGAGCCACTCGTTCTGGCCTGCGGCGTTACGTCACAGGGCATGTGCTCGATCCACGACCCTCTGCAAGACCTGAAGCTCACGTCGTCCATGGAAAAAAAGGTCCCGGACAATTACGTCGCCTCGAAGCGCAACACCGTAGCCTTTTTCGCAAAGAGAAACGACGGAAGAAACGTCCTCTTTGCCGCGGCAGTTTCGGACGGACGGCCTCCGCAGTACCGCCTCTTCCCCCTGTCTGCGAGAGTGCTCAACTCGTCCGGCTCCTTCAGGCTGCTCTCGCACGCAGGCGCGGCCTCTGTGGGCTTTACCAACAAGCCTAGGGCATCTGAAACACTTCGCTTTGTTTACGGCTTCAGTCACAACGGTTTCGCTTACTTCGTCGAGGTGCGGAAAGTGCTCGTGTGGTCCCGATACTCCTTTGAGACACGCCTGGTTCGAGTGTGCGAGAACGACGAACCTTCGTTCCGCACATACGTGGACGTGCCCATCATATGCCCCAGGCATAGTGACGGGCTGTCAGTGGCCACCAGTGCCCACCTGGGACCTTCGATGACTGCGAGTGCCGGAGGCAGCGACAGCAACGCAAGTGTTCTCGCAGTGGCTTTCGGAAAGCCTTCCGCTATCAGGGCGAAATATTTCGCACTTAGTTTGTCTCTTTCGGCGGTGTGCTTTTTCGACATGAACCACGTGGAAAATGCATTCAGGGAGACCATCGAAAACTGCAACAAGGGTTTGTCGAGCGCGAGGCTGTCACTCCTGTACCACGACGACGGCCATGACCTGATGTGTTCTCATCAGGTGAGTATAGCACATGTGCTTACTCATGCTCAATATGTCTGGCTTTAATGATAAATACGTCACAATGCTATTTATTTGAACAGGCTGGACAATCTCGCGTGATCGCATCTGCATTCTTATACGGAGAATGGCTCTAGAATATGTGACTCTCGTGAATACATGTCGACTGCGTTACTAATCCCAGGCACAGCGTGAGATAATAATTTAGAATAACGAAAAGTTGAGCAAGTTGGTTACGCATTCACGCCAAAAACCAGTGGATGCAAACACAGCGAGAGAGAGACAAGTAAAGACCGCACAAGCGCTGACTAACAACTGTAAAAACGAATAATAACTGAAAAGTCCCACAAAACGCGCCTCTTTAGTCTGCGTTTGTGGTCTTTTTTTTTCTTTGCTTTACTCTTGTGTACGTGCTTGCATACCCACACTTTGACCATTGGACAAAAACTGTCATGGTTGATCGCGTTACCATAGCATGCAATAGTCTTTATTCCCCTTACCTTCTCCCCAGTGCAAGGTAGCCTACCAGGGCTCAGGCATGGTTAACCATCCTACCTTTCTTTCATCCTTATTCTCTCTCTCTCTCTCTCTCTCTCTCTCAACGAAGATGAAACGTCTCTTTACAGAAGTAGCAGTAACTCGGTTGGGCGTCAAACTTGCACAACGTGTGTATGAAGGAAAGTGTGAATTGAAGGGCTCGTCCTCTTGGTTAGACACAATAAATGAAAAATAACGGGCAATAATGCCAAGGAAAGTATAGGGGATCATATTAAAAGCAATTTTATTGTAAATGTGAAGAAAGAGGAGTGAATGAAAAGATAACTTATCACTGGCATATTCCAAACCAGTGACGTTCGAATAATGCTTCCAATGCCCTACCACCATAGGTCGGCGAACTCACTCACAAGCCTACTCCCTTGGACTCACTCAGACTCAGATCGAGCCGTAAGTCTGAGTATAAGTGAACCCGAGTGAGCAATCTTTTCTCGAGTCTGAGTCCGAGTTAGTCCGGTTGAAGAAAAGTTTCATGGGTGTGAGTTTCGAGTGAGTTCGGCCCGGGAAACTTTTTGTGAGTCTTGAGTCAGAGTCAGTCCAAAGCGCAAAATATATTTCTTGGATGAGTATGAGTGACTTTCACTTTCTTTTGCCGACCTAAGGTCCTATCTAGTCATCTTCAGCATTACGATCAGGCTTACCCATTGGTTCACGTTTACACTGATGCCTCTGAACATCATCATCATCATCATCATCATCATCATCATCATCATCATCATCATCATCATCATCAGCCTGACTACGTCCACTGCAGGACAAAGGCCTCTCCCATGTTTCGCTAGTTAACCCGGTCCTGTGCTTGCTGCTGCCAATTTATACCCGCAAACTTCTTAATCTCATCTGCCCACCTAACCTTCTGTCTCCCCCTATACTCGCTTGCCTTCTCTGGGAATCCAGTCAATTACCCTTAATGACCAGCGGTTATCCTGTCTACGCGCTACATGCCCGGCCCATGTCCATTTTTTTTTTCTTGGTTTCAACTAGGTTACCCTTAACCCCCGTTTGTTCCCTGATCCACTCTGCTCTCTTTTTGTCTCTTAAGGTTACACCTACCATTTTTCTTTCCATTGCTCGCTGCGTCGTCCTCAATTTAAGCTGAACCTTCTTTGTAAGACTCCAGGTTTCTGCTCCGTAGCTAAGTACCGGCAAGATACAACTGTTATATACCTTCCTCTTGAGGGATAGTGGCAATCTACCTGTCATTATTTGAGAGTGCTTGCCAAATGTGCTCCACCCCATTCTTATTCTTCTAGTTACTTCAATCTCGTGGTTCGGCTCCGCGGTTATTACCTGCCCTAAGTAGATATAGTTTTTTACAACTTGAAGGGCACTACTGCCTATCTCGAAGCGCTGCTCTCCTAACAGGTATTCCAGAAGAGTCGTTTATACAATATTGATAGGCATAATAATAATACATAATAATACATAACATAATAGAAACATAGACGCATAGATGTAGCATAGATGTAGCATAGATGTAATAGACGCATGTATGTAGCGTAAATAACATAATAGAAATATGGAATAACCTGTCACGTGATATAGTGTCCTCAGAATCTCTCGAATCACTCACTGCCAATCTTGAAAAGTTTTTGGATCAGTAAGTTGCAGCGTTGTAGAATAATGGCGCACCTTTTCATTGAATGTACGTTTTGACTTGTATGCCAATCGATGTTTCAATTCTCAGATCTGTGTCTAATATGCACTCTTCCCTGTTAGCCTGTGGTGTTTTTATTCTGTTTTATTTCTTGGTTCTTCGACTAGATATACAGTTGTAATTTGTAATTGTTTAGAGTAGTCTGTACTGTTCATTCTTATTTTTTTCCGTGTTCATTTTTTTTGTGGTCTAATGTGAAGATGACAATCTGTATAATTTCTTCCCACTCCTGTATGAGCCTGTTAAGGCTTACAGTATCAATAAAATAAATAAATAAAATAAATAAATAAATACTGATTATTTTATAGAAGTGAATTGCGTGGGGGAGGAGGGCTTGACCTCCTCCCACGAACTCTTCCAGATAATTTCTTTATGATTATATTTTATGTTGTCATCTCTTCCAAGAAAAATGACCTTACTGGTATGGGAGCACACACAACTCGTTTTCGAATATACATACTATGTCAAACGGCACCCGTAAGAACGCTGATTGCGTGAGATAGTAAAAAAGCATTGACGTCATGGTCGAAGAAGCTAATTCTAGGATGCCGGACTCGTGATTCGACTCGCTCGGACTCACTCAGATTCAGATCTGAGTGAGTCCATCCGAAGCAAATTTTCGTGAGTGGGAGTTCGACTCGGAAAAAAAAAAATTGTGGGTATGAGTCCGAGTGAGTATAATCCGAGCTCGAGATGTATTTCTTGAGTGAGTCTAAGTGAGCTTTACAAATTTTGCCGACCTATGTCTACACCACTGAGCTACAGTGATGGGTGACCGTATAGTTCAGTAGTGGAGAATCAGACGTGTTATTCGAAGGTCGCAGGTTCGGTTCCTGTCGGTGGTATAAGTTAACTTTTCGTTCGCTTTTCTTTCTTCGCATTTACATTACAAATACTTCTAGTGACATCCTCTATAATTTCCTCGGCATTATCGTCTGTTATTTCTTATTAACAACGTGTGTAGTTATTCAACTGTCATGGCCACCTTCAGTGTGAAAACAGAAGTGTTGGCACCCGCTGTCACAGCGTCCGGCATGTCACAACGAGCTCAGCTTCACGACTGCAAAGACTCATACAGTAAACCTGTAATGCGACTCCATTCGCATAGTGTGACTGAAAGATTGATTCCTTAGTCACCGCGGGGTAGAGTTCTTTAATGCGGAACGATGATACATAATATTTACTCGCATTTTCACGCGAAACTTCGTCAGATCGCAATCACATGGCTCAGTTACATAGAATTATTCTATCACATTTACTTCCTCTCGGTTAAGTGAACGATCATATTATTGTCTTTTCTTCTATCCTAGGAAACAGAAGGTCAGGACATTTGCGGCCCAAGTAGGAATCAGTACGTGGAAGGTATGATTCCTCTCGCTGGGCGAGCAACTATAACGCTGACAAGAAGGCTCGCAACTTCGGTAGCCGTAATGAAGCAAAATGGTTCCGCCGTGGTGTGGATTGGTGACAGCCAGGGAATTCTGCACAAGGTACGTACCAAGAAGAAGCAGGAACGAACAAATATAGGGCGTTATTATTTTTAACGCGATCACGTTAGAGCTCGTTTCGCAGAAATTCTGGCGATGGCGAGTTCGTTACGAGCGAAACATCATCATCTCATGCGTGACCGCAAAATCGAGAGAGATGCGAATAGGAATTAAAAAAAAGATAAAATATCCTGGAGCAGAGTAGGAACCAAACCAGGGTTTTTGAAACCAATTGGGGAATGAATCCGGCTTGTTTGCGCGGCAAGCGGATGTTCTACCAAATGAGACCCGGAGATATTTGGTTTTCACCGCTACCTCATAGTCTCGAAAACCTATTGTAATAAGATTTCCGTACAAAAGAATGAAGCAAGTTTCAATCGGATATAACTTCATATCACTTTGTTAAACACTCGACAAACAAGCGTGGCGAATCTCAAGAATGTGATTCATCCGAAGTCCGATGTGTCGAAGCCTGCAGGTACATCCTATAATTTTCATGGGGGTACAATCACCACTGAAGGAGCGGTGCTCTGCCATTGCGTTCCAAATTTGGCATCAAAATATAATAAAATATTTTATAACACTTGAGTACAAACGTTTTTGTTTCACCTTCGAAACAACGCGTTATCTGCGCGTATACATTATGTAAGCAGCAGTACAGTACCAAGTGAGAAACACTTAGTGTTTCGTCTGCTGCGCTTCTGTTCAAATAGCCTGCGCCCAACGCGCCTCTCGTTTTCTTGTGAAATCTGGTCATATGAGCGTGAAGATGCGTCTATTTAGCCTCATCGTGGTTTTCCAGTCGGTGTAGACGAGTTTTGGCGAGAAGCGATCATGAAAACACTTTATGCAATATTATGATACGCTGCACCTATGCGTCTAAAGTGGTGAGTGGACGACGCTTCACTTAAACTGTCAAATGCATCTTGTAAAGCTCCAACGTCGCAGCAAATCCAAAGACGTAGTGGTCTTCAGTCTCACTGAACAACAAAGGCACTGCTTCCGAAGTTCGCTTTGCACCGCACTCCACAACCCACGCTGCGCGAACAACAAAAACCGTAGCTGTAGAAAAAGTTCCACAGGCATTTCACTATAGCTAACTCAATCAAGTCAGAAGCCTGTACTATCCACAATTCCCATTGAAGTACACGATCGCAGTGCCACATTCCCCTCTAGGTATGGACCCGAACAAGAGATGCTCCAAGTAACAGTGGCGCGCTCAGGACCGTGAGTGAGAGCGTAGACTTCGACCCAGTGCGACCGACGACGATCGCACGAGTGAAGCCTTACACATGCACGATGCCTCGCCATCGAGACACTTCCCCAGCTTCTCGGGTCTTCCCTCTTCAGGTACTATTGGAAGGCCTTTAAATTTTGATTGATTTGTGGGGTTTAACGTCCCAAAACCACCATATGATTATGAGAGACGCCGTAGTGGAGGGCTCCGGAAATTTCGACCACCTGGGGTTCTTTAACGTGCACCCAAATCTGAGTACACGGGCCTACAACATTTCCGCCTCCATCGGAAATGCAGCCGCCACAGCCGGGATTTGATCCCGCGACCTGCGGGTCAGCAGCCGAGTACCTTAGCCACTAGACCACCGTGGCGGGGCAGGCCTTTAAATTTTCGTGATGGCGTTAAGATGTGTGTACACAATCCACGACCCCGATTTCGCAGATGGACTATGTACCTTCACGCGCAAAAGCAACCGTTCCACAGTTGTTAGTGCTCTCCTGTACGCTGAACTAGCAGTGCGATGAACAAAAAGACCCAATTCTCACTGTTTCAGCTTTTTTTTTAAGTTTTTATGTGTGAGTCTTTTTTTTTTGTCAGTTTCTGGTGGCGACAGGGTCGCACGGCGCGATTAATACTGCGTGTCTTTTGACACACCCGAATGGTATTGTCACGGGGTGAGAGTACAGGAGGAAGAAATGTATTTACGAAATATACAGACGTAAATAGAATTAGCTGCTACCCAGACGGCACAGCGAAGACACGTGCACCATATCATTCGTTGTCTGCATTGTCTTTTAGGGAGCATCCTAGTTCCTGGTGGCTTGTAACATGTTTTGACTGCGTGCGTTGTTGCTCTTTTGTGGCAGTATTTGTTGCAGGGCGAAGCACCACGGCCGCTGGCAGCACTGGATGTGTCGCATATAGGCCGTGAGATTTCTAGGAACTTCGCCTTGGACAGCGACGGCACGTACGGATATTTCCTAATCGGCAACGAGGTGCGCCACATTGAACCATTACGTGTCAGAGCAGGCATACAGTCGTGAGCAAAAGCAAATATATTAGAAACGACGACACCAGCCGAAAATAAAACTTTCTCCTAGCGCAGCTCCAAATTATTATAGCATTTCTATAAAACATTGTATTGTACAAACTTTTACATTAAAGCGCCGCCACCAGATTTCGAGCAGCGCACTCTGGCTGCAGAGATGGAGAAAGGTTTATGGCAAAAGTTGGCCTTACAACTTTTGCTCGCGACTGTACACAGCTCAACAACTGTGACAAAACGGGTTAAACTTCGTGAGAGTAATGTACATGCGTGAAAATGTGACGGGGACACAGTCACGTGCCATGCCTTTTTTTACCTAAATTAAGCATAAGCTCAGAATGTCTTTTGTCTTCTTGTTGCGCTTGCGCCTATCCAACCACTCGCCAGCAATGGGGTTTATTTATTCTTGCGAAAATTATTTGATCGCTGACCTTAATAAAACAGCTATTGAAAGCAGAACAGAACATTGCAAATTGGGATGACCACATCGGTCAATGACTGCGCACTTCTGATATTGTACATTTATTGTGGGTTCTTTATTAGTCCCATGCTCTCTCCCTTCTTCAGTTCATCTTTTGAACGCCCTCCACCTATGTTCATAATGATACCAATTGATTTTATCAATACCGGTGCTCCATTGGTATATACGGACGCGTAATTCGACGGTTCGGCGTTGATTTGATATGTGAGGTTTAAGGTCTCAAAACCACCATATGATTATGAAAGACGCCGTAGTGGAGGGCTTCGGAAATTGCGACCGCCTGGGGTTCTTTAACGTGCACCCAAATCTGAGCACACCAGGCTACAACATTTCCGCCTCCATCGGAAATGCAGCCGCTGCAGCCGGGATTCGATCCCACGACCTGTGAGTCAGCAGCCGAGTACCTTAGCCACTAGACCACCGTGGCGATGGTTCGGCGTAAGTACCAACGTATAGGGGAATTTTTCGTCCGCTTTAATTTAACATAATTTGCGTAATGACTACCATGCTACAGTCAAAATACAAGCATTATTCTTCCCTATGTTTCCAATGTCATAGTTGTCTGTTTGGATGATTTTATCCGACAAAGAAACGAGATCATCGCCGACATTCTCCTTCTTTGACCCTTCGCACTTGTGTGTTTAGGTTGCGCGGATTCCTGTTGGTTCCTGCAGAGTACACGGAACCTGCTCTCAGTGCATAAAACGCCAGGAAGACCCGCTGCGATGTGGGTGGTGCGGGCACTACTGTGCCCACTTTGCGGAATGTGCCGATCCAGCAAAATTTACCCTTGAACGTTGCCCAGTGGAGTTGGAGCGGGTATGTGAAAGATAATCATTTCTAATAGCGTGCAAATAGTGCTAAATTTAGGTGGAGTTCGTACATATGCCGTTAAAATGCCTTTGAAACCGGCAGCAATTCGCTGCTCTTTAGTAGATATGTCTTTTTTAATGTGATTGCTTTCCAGTGACGATGTCATCAGATGTGCTAACCTGATATCATGATGCAGTCAGCACAGCGATGTTCATATTTCACAGAAAGGTGTGGTCCTGTATGCGTGGTCCGAATAATGCAAGAATATAGAAGGATATTTAGCGTGTTACTTAGCTAGAACAATAGTTTTGCATGTGAATTCAATTGAACGGAGTGACTTCGAGGTCATTTTCAATTGCGAATGCAATTGGTAGGGCCAAAGTCATTGTGATATCTGCCCGTATAATACCCCGTTTGCCAGACCGGCATTTGTTCTGTGTGAGTGTCTCCTGAATTATGGGGGTCCGTCACCAAACGTCATGGGGCCCATCGTCTCACAGGAACGCCATGAGACTTCGTTTCGCGCTCCTCCTTGTTGCTTGTGGGAAAAAATGACATCTTGAAAGGCCCCTTGCCAGTGACAATCTTTTTGTTGATTGATTGATATGTGGGGTTTAACGTCCCAAAACCACCATTTGATTATGAGAGACGCCGTAGTGGAGGGCTTCGGAAATTTCGACCACCTGGGGTTCTTTAACGTGCACCCAAATCTGAGCACACGGGCCTACAACATTTCCGCCTCCATCGGAAATGCAGCCGCCGCAGCCGGGATTTGAACCCGCGACCAGCGGGTGACAATATTTTTGTGAGCTGCTTGCTTTTTGCAAGCAGCTCACAAAAAAATCCAGTTTCCCGGTCACTGGACAGCGTTTTCTGACCATACTTAAAAAGTGTCGCAGTGCCCTTTTAAGCCTTGTACACGGGCGGGTGGCAAAATATGTTGTGGCTATGGGGTATTGCACGCACATTTTTTGACATTTAAGGTATATCCGCTCAACGGGCCTGTGTCCGGTGGCACTATCATCACGATACTGGGAGACAACTTGGGCTCGCCTGAGCGCAAGCCTTACAGCAGCATCGAGATATTATTCGGAAACCGCACTTGTAGCATCGTTGACTGGTCTTCGAAGCAGTAAGTAAACATTTTCCTTGCAAACTTTTTAAGATCACTACTAAAATAAATTGTCATATTTTTTTTCAAAGGGCACGGGCCTCTAACCTTAGTCTAACCAATGGCGGTCTATTGGACGTATACTGGTGTGAAATGAAGCATCTAGAATTAACATCGCAGTTTATTTCTGACAACGAGGTACAGTTTCTACAGACTTCACAATGCGTTTGAAGTTAGTCAATGTGTGTTAATGTTACGAGCCTCTGTCAAGAAAAGTGCGTTTCCTTTTAGGTACGTGCATTATAAAATAGTTAAATGAAGCATCGCTCATTAGTCTAAACGCAGCATAAACACGCTGATGCCTTCGCCAGGGGGAAAGCAGTTTTGCACGCCATATGCAGCGTCTTCAACACAGATTTTCCTAAAGCGTTCCTAACGTGTGTATATATATATATATATATATATATATATATATATATATATATATATATATATATATATATATATATATATGGCAGATACGCTTAACGTCTTCAGGGCCACCACTCCTTGCTTTAGCGTGGTTTTGAAGTGCTATATATTGTTAAAAAGCTCGTTTCGATAAAATCCCGGCATCGGCGTCAGTGTTGTTGTCGTGACTGAAAAAATAATCATGTTAGCGTGACTGAAAATTGAGATAGATATCTGCTGATTATATAATGCAGTCGTTTCGGAGTAAATCTTGGTTATCAACAACTCGCTGCCGGCGTCCTCCTCTCGTCTCGTCTTAAGCACTGTCTTATTCGTCATCTAAAATGATAAACTTTACCCTCCCTCTCTTTTCCTCCCTTCTCCTCACCCTTACTATACTTTCCCTTCCTTTTTCTACGCTATACTACAAGTTCCTATGCTGTACATAACTTGGTTATACTGGATTTCTCCTGCGTGGCGCACAACATTGCTATGCTTTGCTTTACCTTCTCCATTCATTTTTACCCTTCCCCACCTTCACATTTCTCCTGCACCATTACTTCCCCCCCCCCCCCCTGTCGTTTTATACTACTTTATACAACGCCCCTCCCTACATTGCTATGCAATGCATAGTTTTGCCTGCGTGATGCGAAGGTATGCATGAGATAACAGCACACGACAGCCCGAACCCCTAGTGCGCTCTGCACTTAAAGATATTTACACCATGTATCGCTTTATGTTTCAGAGTGAAATGTAGGACGCCCCCTGTGCAGCAGAGCTCGAAAGTAGACGTTGTGGTAAAGGTGATCGACATTTTCAGCAATACCGGCAAAAGTTATCACGTTACGGAAAATCGAACAGTTCCCTCTGGCTTCGAATACAAAGTACGTGTTCAGTTGTTGTTGTTGTTGTTGTTGTTGTTGTTGTTGTTGTTGTTGTTGTTGTTGTTGTTGTTGTTGTTGTTGTTGTTGTTGTTGTTTCTAGGACCAAATAATTCGTCTCTCGTCGCGTCTGTGGTGTGGTATTTAGGCCTTTCAGTGTGTATTTATGCACTTCTCGCGTGCATCATATGAGGTGACAACATCTTATCGTTCGAGTGTGCCTAAATCTCTAGTGCGCGAACATAATTGCCCGCCTTATAGAACCTTGCGGGGCCTTTAGCACAATTTCGACTGCTACATTAAACATCACATCTGAGTGCGATGACACAAAAGTTGCTCTGTTGTGACGTTCTGTGGTTTGGGTATCCGTCACCGCATTGCCGCATAATTTGTTCGTGCGCGTGTATGTTCTTGTGTTCGCAACAGAAAAAGCGGGAGAAAGGAACAAAGAGAGAGAGAGAGAGATTCGGCGCACTTACCCGTGCATTACGTGAGGTACAGTAGTTGCAATCATTACTTAGTGCCAACATCACCTAACTGTTAACTTCTTTTTTTTTCCTTTGCCCCGTTTCTTCAACGCCAGATAGCCAGTCATTCTTGTCGATATGGGAATAATAAGCGTCTTAAAGCTTTACGGTTTGTTCACTTCATGGCATGATCATGTTTTCATCGTTCAGGAATGTAAGATCCACATGCGTCAGGCCATTTCTTTAGCATAAGGGGAAAAAATGCTAAACACCTGCAATTTTTCATGACCTTGAATAGTGGCGCAATAACACTTTATACTTAAAACCGATCTATTAAGTAAATATACTAGTCCTCTAGCCCGTTACTCCTGAAGCTTCCTTCTTGGTAGGCGTCTGACTGTGGCGCTGGGAGCATATTCTGGTGAACTTTTGCAGGTTGTATCGTTCACTGCAGTCGCTCCAAATTATGGACCAGTAGCCGGAGGAACCAACGTTTCTTTGAACGGAGTTAACCTCGACATCGGCTTAGAGCGCGTAGTCAAAATCGGCAGAAGCTTATGCCGAATACGAAGGTGAGTGAAGACCACAAATTCATTTCTAGTTGTGTGTAATAATACTAATGATAATAATAATAATAATAATAATAATAATAATAATAATAATAATAATAATAATAATAATAATAATAATAATAATAATAATAATAATAATAATATTATTATTATTATTATTATTATTATTATTATTATTATTATTATTATTATTATTATTATTATTATTATTATTATTATTATTATTATTATTATTATTATTATTATTATTATTATTATTGTTGTTGTTGTTGTTATTGTTGTTGTTGTTGTTGTTGTTGTTGTTGTTGTTGTTGTTGTTGTTGTTGTTGTTGTTGTTCTCCAGACTCACGACTTCAATTAGCACGGTAACTGATTTTGATGAATAGGCTTCATCTAAGCGTAAATAAGTTCCACTGTGTAATATCTCCTTAGTGACGAAATAAGAGTTGTGCCTTAGTGTCCCTTCAAATCACAGAAGACTACTAATTCCATTACGTATGTATCTTGCTGCTCATAAGTAAACTGTTTTTTTTTTCTCATTTTCACGTTGCTCGTTGGTGAAACAACACGTTAAAATTATGCGCAAATGAATTATCACCACCCTATAGCGTCGTGTGGTTTCTTAGTTCCTAATGCATAAGTAATAACAAAACAGGTTTAACATTGCAAACCGAGAATCGGAGTCTTATGAAACAGTTGTATCAACGCTGCTTTCAAGAGCTTCAGTTGTTCATGCTTCTCAGCTTATTTACGATCTTATCATGAGGTGGGAGTCTGAAGTTTCCTAAACTTGAAGTGAGCTTCACTTGTCCTGAACTCTTACAATAAAGGGAGTAGAGGCTCGAAAGGCTCAAAGCTATACAGCTTGGCAAGAGACCTCAGTTCCTAATTACAGTTCCAATGATTCATTGCATATTATATATGAGAAGTATGCCTCCAGAAGTAAAACAATAACGCAACAATGACTGGTTACACAACACGACTAAAACAAGAACTGTTTCACCGCATAATGCTAAATGGTAATCAAAGTACGAGAAATCAAGAAGAAATTTATTATGCCTACTCAATACCATATTGTGTTATGGGGTACTGAATCATGCTGTTAAAACGAACGTAATTCTACTCTATGAAACTGTCTGAGTGACCTTACTATGCTGGTATTTGGTATTATCTGTGTTGCTTAGACTAAGTAATGTTATTCTGTTGCAATGAACACATTTTTGTTGGTATCTGTCTATAAGTAAGGCTAATCTGACGGCACTGAATATTTCTGCTAATGAATGAATGACAATTGAGAACTCTTTTTCGGTCTCTTACCGCAGAGTGGAAAACAAGTTTCTCCATTGTTCGACGGGCTCCGTAAGCCCCAGATCGCTTCAGAAGATGCAAGTAAGGCTGTTTATAGATGGCACTGAGGTTCCTTTCAGTACGGCGGATAGTCGACGCCCGACGTTCACGTACATGCCGAACCCCGTGATCGAGCACATCTCTCCCTCAAATGCAACTTTCAGGTCAGTAACCGCCAAAATTGTAATGGCCGATTGTTTCGTGGCTACCACGGTTGTCGTTGGGTATATTGAAAAGGGAGCAAAAGCCAAAGCTGCATGTAGCCAGAAGCCGCCATGCCATCTAATGTTATCGTGAAGTTGTAACCAAACAAGACTGTTATTACGAGGACATTTTTTTATGTTTGAAGAATAAATAATATCGTTCTTAAAGAGAGAAAACTTTAATAGAGCAGCACCGTTTTTCTTTTGCCACTTGGTGTTCCATCCGCAATTAAGTTGCAAATAAATCAATAAACTATGTAGCTTCAGTAAACCTGCATATAACTTTAGGGAGCGAACGGAGCTCTTGACAAAGTCCGAGTAGCTTAGGACCACACAAGCGAACAAGTGATTAGTAAAAATAAGTGCGCTAACAGTTTTTTCTTGAAGCTACGCACCAAAATTGATTATTACAGTTACCATAATACAAGTTGGAGGAGTGAAATATTCTTGACAACAAGCACTCCAGGTTCATTTCGTCCCGAATCTTCATTTATGTGAAGTTTGCTCGGGGACCCGCGCTGTGCCTCAGCAGCGGGAATGAATCGGCGCGAAGCGTCAGCATAGATGACGGAAGACATGAGCAGCATGCTATAGCAACATGTTTTTTTTTTCACATGCATGAGACTTCGTCATCTCATCTTTGCAGGTGAACGACATACCTTATCTTCAAATATTAAGAAAAAAAAAGCACCGCCTCTGTGGCCTGGTAGTTACGCTGCTCAGCCGCTGACCCGAAGGTCACGGGATCGAATCCCGGCCACGTCGGCCACCACAGCGGCTTGTGATCTTAGGTTAGGTACACCTACAAGAACGCGATGAGGATCAAAAGCACTTATCTATTGGGACAGAGAGAAATTCGATGGTCGATCATAATCACTGTGGTCACAATGACAGTGGTTATGACCCCAAAGTAGTAACGAACAGGAGAGAGATGAAAGACAGGGATGTTAGCCCACCTAAAAAATTGATTTACGTTATCTGACACTGGGGAAACGGGCGGGGGAGTTTGAAAGTTAAAGGTGGGGTGAGAGAGGCGCAGTGCGCGCACACACGTGTGTTTGTGCAGTAACAATATCGCTATCGGTGTATAACCACCCCTGCCATTCAGTTACCTTCAATGCACTGGGTCAGCCCTTGTTGACGTCCCAGCAAAATATGTGGTGGCGTTATGCCTGGGTTGTCGATTGCTGCTTTTGTGGCGTATGGTTTTGGTATTGAAACTCAAGTGCATGATTGGATACCATGCTGATGCGATACCATTTCGCTGCAACACTTCTGAAAGTAGTTAGCGCTCTTGTTACCTACACCTTCACTGTAGATGTGCTGCTGTAAGTACGTAAGTTTGCTTCATGGTTCGTTTCTCTTCTTAGAAACTGGATTTTTTTCACGCGCTGAGCTGTAACGTCCTTAATAAAAATGTTAGGCCCGAGTGGAAATCACAGCACAGCCATAAAGAAAGCTGGAAGAGTGCCCTTTCTAGAACCCTTGGTAAACTCTCTTGGGGCTACTAATAAAAGCCCGCCACAAAAGTACCCGCCATGCCATAAATCGTAATTTCTGTTAAGTTTGGAAGCACCCACCGTGCCTTTATTTTTTATTCTTCGGAGAAGCGATGTATCTTCTTCACGATTGCAAAGAATTGTGTGCAATTTCTTCATGCGAGGGCTGATGACGATCAATAATTATGGCTGGACCATTTGTAATGCGTTGGAAGCATTCAATGACCCACTGGTTGCACGATTCGCATTGTGTAACGCGTGGTTGTAATTTACTTATCTAGCCCGCTATATTACACATGTCAACGTGGTTCCTTCCCAGCATAACGCCTGTATATGGTATTCTTTGCGATGCCTTATCGAGCACCAGCGTAGTTCAGCGGTTGAATACTAGGCTGCCACGGAGAAGACCTGCAGGGTCGAACCCGGTTTCATCCTGGATATTTCGACATTATTTTTCGTGTTTTTTTTTTTTCTTATTTCGCGCGATAGCGATTACGGACTCCGGCGGTGGCGGACAACAACGGTCCCTAAAACGGCCTTTCTTTACATCTCACCACAGCTTTCACCGTAAATGGTTATTCAGGAACTAAGCGACAACTTTTTGTAATTGGGAGCTGAAAAGGCCTCGTGCATCAGCGTAGTGCAACACATGGCGATAGTGGGGGGGGGGGGGGGGCAATAGCGGAAAATATTATTAATAATGCATATAAATGCATTTGATAATGCACTTTACGCGCACATGTACAAAAAAGTGTGTTTCTGTTAAATATTAAAAAAACGGTACTCACTGGGGACGTTCGTTGAGAAAAATATCTCGCAGGATAATTATCACTAAAGTTTTGGCCACCGAAACAACTTACTATTTGCAGCGAGAACTTCACCATTGTGGCAAACGGCTTCTTTCTGGACAGCGCGGCGGCTCCAAAGATACTTTTCCGAGTGGATTCTCTTAACCTCAAGAAAGGACAGACCTTAGTAAAGGTGAGAGACCATGCTTAGTGAAAGTAACACATTGGTTTGGTAGACCAAGCCTTAAGGGTCACGTAAAGATCGATTTCAGCTCGCTGCGTAAACTGTAATTTATTGCAACACTTGAAAACTGTGACTTGCTGCAGATCGCTGCGACTCAGCCAACGGGTTTACAACCACCCATTCACAGAACGACGTGCTCTGGTAGAGCGACGTCACTGAGGCTGCTGATCTTATTGGCTGTGTAACGCATGGAAGTAAGATTGGCTCGTAGGGTAGCGACACCTGTCGGGGCAGATATCAACCCCTCCGTCTTCGTCCCTGTTGCCCAACGGCGTGCGTGCTTCCGGGCACACAACTGTGTGATGGCCTCCGAGATTGCGCGCAACCTGTCGTGGCACAATCTCGGAGGTCTCATCGTCTAGTGCGCTCATAATAGCTCTACTATCGCCAGCGATGCTACAGCATTTCTCGTGAGTTCAGCAGGCACGAAAGAGGTGAGAAGGAGGATATGATGTAATCATGTAATTGTCCGTAGCGGCCTTGGTACATTACGTGTCGCTCAATTAGGCTTGCGAATGGTTTGACGATGCTGAAGCCTAGCACCGACAAAACTTAAAGAAAAACGTTTCGGGATCCCTCTAAGTGGCGCGAAACATTTCAATCCCAGTTTACCGGGTACATGTGCGACGACTTCTTAAATATTTAGCCGCAGATGTGCAAGAAATTCCTAAATATAGCACAGTACTCTTACTTCGATTAACATTCCCATTTGTTGCTATCGCATTTATTGCTTCGCCCTTGCGGTGAAACTGAATTTTTCTGCGTTGCAGAAGGGTAAATTACTTTGTTATTCCATCTGCACAACTATTTGCTGTGGGCTCTTTGCGTACACTCTGGTGAACGTATAGGAACAAAAAGTGTTGGGTAGACAAAATTAAAATAAATTAATAATTGAAGGTAAAAAAAAGCACCACGCCAGTGCAGGACGCGCAGCACGGTCACAGTAGACGGTGGAAGAGTGGCCTTTCTAAAGCCTTTTCTAAACACCATTCGGGCACCTACTGCAAGTACACTTACTAGTACTAGCACACCGTTTAATATTTTAAATTAAGGTATACTGATTCTGAGTTCAGACTTGCGGTTTCCATGATTTCCCTACAATCCGTGACGACCTATATGTTTTCCATGAAATATATATCGTAAATACCGCAGTAAATGAACAGTCTTGTCTTAGTTCTTTTGAGTTATTGATTCACATTCACATAGCATAACCATCGTACAAAGATCATATGAGAACAAATATCTAAATAAACCTATATAACCGTATGTACAATGTGTGTTTACCTGTGGTAATTATTGCTAGTTTTGTTCATTTTTTGTTCGTCCAGCTATGTACGCATTTTATTTCTGCTTGCTGTTGCTTTTTTTTCTTTTTTAACACGAAAGTGTTTTATGCCGAGGTCCACCAAATCTTCAGTAACGTACTTCCGCCACGGAAATGACGTCAAAAAGATACACACGATCAGATGAGAAATTGTGGCGTAAAAATATTTCGACAGAAAGTTTCGTTAACGGCAGTCGCACCCACGTACTGACGAAGGGGAGTGGAACCCACAGTAGAGGCCAGGCCCGCTATCCACTGCGCCACGGTCACATCCTTTGTAAACTTTATTTCCTTCTGTTTTTTTTTTCGTTTACCCAATATTTCTCTCTTTTGTTTTAATCTTTTGTTGTTTTGTTTATAATCGTTCTTTTTATTTCTCCACTTACACAATTCGCCATTCGTGTATGGCCGGTGTTTATTTGTGTGTGTGAGTTTGTCTGATGCAACGTTCTGTCTCGCAGGACTGTCGTGTGTTGGCGGGAGGCCGCACGATGCTGTGTCCCGGACCATCCCTGCTGCTGTTTTCGGTGATCAGCGAAGACGAACTGCGCAGCCACGGGTTTCGCGTGCCGGCGTTCATCAGCTTCCACATGGACGGCCTACACCTTCCGCCTGGCCTTCTCGGCAGGGCGGGCTACTTCGATTTCTACTACCTGCCGACATCCGCAATGAGCAGCTACGCAGAGCCTGCAGTCACCACTGCGAAGACAGTTGTGCGTACTTTTACCGCCCCTTTGCCCATAGGTCTGTCAAGATCCGACACTCGTGGAAGCGAAGCTTCACCCCACTCCCCCGTCTGCCTTCAAAAGAATCTTCGCAATATATGCAAACCCAGACAAGGATGTGGAAGGGTGAGGGACGGAGGGTGGGCTGGGGTGGAGGAGGGGTGGGGAGTGGGATCATGACTATGTAGGCTTTTTACGGCCGAGGACCATGAATGTTGTGTTCCAGGAGCTGTTTACTTACCATTTTAACCATCTTGAACAACTAAAACACCATGAAAGACAAGGATGAGCTAGAGACGAAAAACAGGGACTCTGTATACGCGCCTCATCCTCCTGGTCTTTCGCGCTGTTTTATTTCATCTAGCTGGAAGCACACCAACACGCCCAACTATCTGTGCAATCCCTTATTACCCCTCGGTGGGACCTAAGGCGGGCTGTTTTGTAAGGCAAATAATCACTTCAGTGTCATCATTGCATCCACAGGTAAGCTTGTTCTTTTTGGAACTCGACCAACGGGGCCAGCCACAGAGGTTTACCGGTTGTGGGGCTCGACAGCTGACCTACAGGCAGCAGGATTGAATCCTTGCCATGACTGTAACATTATCGATGAAGACGAAATACCTAAGGTCCGTACAACCCCATGACGCACACGCTCACATACATGCACACAGACACAGAGAAAAATAAACCAAATATTATTTTACAGTGATGACAAAAGAGGGCTCTAACTTATGTGTACTTAACGTTCACGTTCCACTGCACTTTCATGCACATTAGTCTTTTTTTTTTATTGTGGATAACTTCTGGTCACTAATTGTGAAACAAAGAAGCGCTCAAGCGGGGTTCATTTTATTCGGCAATACTTCACAAATATATCCTCGATTGTTTGCTGAAATGATTCCATCAGATAACCACAATAACTTCAAGATATCCACTTTTCTTCATTGTGTTGCTGTTTGCAGTATGCGATGTTCACCGGTGTTAAACCAACGTATGGCCCAGCGGCTGGAGGCACTAACATCACTCTTTTCGGATTGAATCTTGACAGTGGGACAAAACACGGTGTGACAATAGGCGGGAGGGGATGCACGATCCACAGGTATGCACTTGTTTACGCTAACTGCATGCGAGCAGGCACAAACGGCCTTTCGTGCCTGTCTAATATCGCGGTCGCAAAAGAAACAATGCGGTATGTACATTGCGACAGGGTAACCTCGACGTTCCTGGAATGTACGACGAGTGTCGTCGCCAACAGAAGCACGGTTGGCCAGGAGATGCAAGTCATGCTCACAATTGACGACAAGGAAGTTCCTTACATTCGAAACGACAGCCTGGGCACCAATTTTGTCTACAAACCAAATCCTGTCATCGAATATATATCACCCAAGAGGACCATATTCGGGCAAGTGGCAATCGTGACGTTTTACGGTGGTTCACCTCAAACGGTTATTTGGAGAGAATGATGATTTTGTTGATAACGGCAGGTCTAGTTCCCTTTTGTGCAAAGGGTAACGAAAGGCTTCTTATGTCCATCATATGTGGTAGTTAAATTTTATTCTCTACCGTAGTTATACTGCTTGTTAAAATCGTCTTGCCGGACGTCACTGATAAGCTTTTGCACACGTACACGAGAAAAGTCTCTTTTTACGGGAGCGGAAAAGCTGTTGTTTCGGGGGTGTGATTAGTTGCGCCGATGTTGATGGTTACGATTGGCCCGACAACAATTTGCAGTCAGAACTTCTCCGTTGAAGTGGTGGGCTCACATCTCGACAGCGTTGCTCAGCCACTCATCGTCACTCAAGGCACCTTTCTCAACCAAAAACAGAAAGGGTACATAAGAAAGGTAAGAGGAAGTTCAAGTACGTGTCCTTGTTCTCGGCATATAAAAGCAAGCTGCATGTTCATGCGTATTCAAGTTCTAAAACGGTATTGTCGGAATGGAGAGATTAAAATCTCACAGCAATTTTTTGTAGCTCCTTCGAGTTGACCAAACACAGAAGGACCTTCTGAGTTTATTACCTTCAAGTTTCCAAGTAATGACGATGTCACATCAAAAGACACTACAATATAGATAGCAAAATTATCACTGAGGATCATAAGTCGTCAAACCTACACATAAGTCGCCTGACTCAGACTCAGATCGAGCCGTGAATCTGAGTGAGTACGGGTGAGTGATACGTGGTGAGATCGAGTCCGAGTTAATTGGATTAGAAAAAAATGTTCAGTCAGCCGGAAGGGGAATGAGTCCGATTCAGGAAAACTTGAATGAGTGTATGTCCGAGTGAGCCTATCAGCGCGAGGTATACTCCATGAGTGTGAGTGAGCTCCAGATTGTTTTGCCGAGCACTCGTCCTATCTTCTTAACTTGAGCATTAGTATCAACCTTACGTCGGCTCACGTTTATATTTATTACGTCTACTAGCACATAAATGCAATAGTGTTCATAAGCCAGCCCCGTATTAATTAAACAGACGCGGGAATTATGAAGAGGGAGAAGCTTCTTAACCCCTCCCTCCGTCATTTCCTTTCAGACGAAGACATTGTAAAAAAATCACCGCATATCCGCGGAGTGAGTGATGATGAGTGGAGCGAAGCGTCCGTTAGTCCGTTCGTTCTTGCTTCCGTCCGTGCGTCAAACGGACGGACAGACAGACAGACAGATGGACGGACAGACAGACAGACAGACAGACGGACGGACGGACGGACGGATGGATGGACGGACGAACGGACGGACGGACGGACGGGCAGACAGACAGACAGACAGACGGACAGACGGACGGACGGACGGACGGACGCAGCCAGTGAATGATTAATGGTTTCCCAATAAAACCCTCCGAAGCTTCGCCCCACTCATCATCATTCACTCCGTGGATATGCTGTGAGGTGGTTACTACATACATGCATACATACAGGTGACGCCCGATCCACGGCTTAAGGAGCTTCGGCCCTAAAACATCTATAATCACTTTCTATAAAAATTTCTAAATAGATTGCAACTACTGATAGCTTCTATTTAAAGATACGAGATCAAAGACGCCAAGTAGAGCACCAATTACGTGAGATAACAACGTTAAAAAGCAGACGCTTTGAGCAATACAGCTAACGGGCTCATGATTTGACTCAGACTCAGATAGAGCCGCGAGTCTGAGTCAGAGTGAATCCAAGTGAGCAATATTTTTATCAGTTAGAGTCCGATTGAGTCCAAGCGAGGAAAATTTTAGTGAGTGTGAGTTCTAGTGAGTTCGGTTGAGGAAAACATTGGTGAATGTGACACCAAGTCGGCTCCAAAGGCGAGATGAGTTTTATGAGTGAATCTAAAGCTAAATTTTTTTGCTGGCCTATGCAGAGCAGCATTTACCTCATTCGCTTTCGACGTTCAGTTTACATTACTTTCTTCTCGAAGAGCAAAAAAAAATTGCTACACCCCCCCACACACACTGTAGTCCTGCATTAGCTTAGAACAGAAAGGAAATGGTCTTCACACATATATAGTTTCAGGTTTAACGAGACGTTTCACCTCAATAATTTTCGTGTCTTTTTTAGAGCATCTGAGATTGTCAGTGAAATGAACGAATATTATGCGCTGCAGGAATGTCACGTCGTGGAGGGAGGCTCCAAGATGCTGTGTCCTGGCACTGCCCTTACTGATTCATCTGTTATTGCGCCGGGTGGTTTGAAAGCCTTCAATGGCTCTGTTCCTGTACGGATAAGCTTCCAGATGGATGGGCTACATCTTCCTTTGGCCCCAAACGGAGGCAATGGACATTTCACGTTAACATACCAACCGAAGCCGCAGTTCAAGAAATTTCCGCAGTCGCAACGCTCCATCGATCCCAGTCAACCTGTAATTGAGATCCAGGTGTGAGATTACGGTTCATTTAACGCATCTTTGAAGATATTGGTATTCTCGCACATATAGAATAGACGTTTATTTAATGAGCAATACAGATGATGAGTAGTGAGAGAAAGAGCTGCTTTCAGAAAGATTGACAAAGCTCTCACCCCGTGTAACTTGGGCTTTGGTCAGCGTTTGGCCACAGACTCTATTAATACATCAATAGAATATATACAAGTCATTAATAGAACATGTTTGCACACTATTATTATCGAGAAAAGTAGTACAAAAAACAATGCAGTGAATAAATAGTACGTGATGCTACATACATCCTTATAGAGCAACAAATTGTGAAACTTTTCAGATTATTTCAGAATAAACGAAAGAAAGAACATTCACAAAAACGAGGATTAAATATAATAAAGCATATAATTATTGTTATATGTAATATTGCTTAAGCTGGTCGAATGTGAAGCACTCTATATGTATGTTCAATTTAAAAAAATATTTAGCCATTCTGAGAATGAGACAACACAGCCTATCTTTGTCATAGTTCGTTCTGCTGGGAGGCACATCCCAATCTTCAAGAAGCCTAGTGTCATAGCTACGCACGTTTACTTTTAATTTAGCCAGGATGAGTATACTATTAAATATATCACAATTTACGTGAGACATAAAGCATGAGCTGGTATTGACTACGTCTGCTGGACGATAATGGGTTCGCCGCGTCGCTTTATATTCTTGTATGTGTTGTACTTGTTGTCACTGTCATTCTATATAAATACAGGTACAGATACACGTGGTCTTCGTGAACGCTCGACATCGCACTGTCATCTCTGTAACTGTAACGTGCAATACAACACAGGGACGAAAAGTAAGGATGCAATACTTGCGCTAACTTTTAATGAACGGCTTATTGGAACCGAAACGCGAATACGTATGCAGTGGGGATGCTTATGCGTAGATATGTTATTTTACGCTCTTTCTCTTTTTTTAACAAAATATGCGAAACAATTCAAAATCTGATGCACGTTCAAATAATACTATTATTCACCCGACAGATGCAGTGATGCAGTGCTTACACAATCGCTACCCAACTTTACGATTTTGGCGCCTGCCATTGGAGTAGGCTTATGGCGTATCTAAAGTTCGCCAACGACGTACGTCATCTGAGGCGGGTATTTGGCGAACTTTTAAATACGTGGATGCCTACCAGATCATCTTTAAGCGCGAACGATTTCCCTGAGAACCGCTGCTGTGTAACGCGCTAAACCTATTTTATAGGGCCTAGATCCTCTTTCACTAACGTAGGAACTATACCTACTAAGGATGGAAATATTTGCCTCTTTAATAACCGTGCTCAAGTTCCTTGATAACAAGGCTTGTTCGCAATATGAATCAGCTGACAACAAGCAGTTTTCCCTATTCAGTTCAAACCACACCAAACTCATTAAAAGAAGTGCCATGAGACACTGCCTAAATGGCGCTATCAACAAATTGCGTACTCGCTGTGTGGTTGACAGTCTTTGCCTTAGAGAGGCGGGAGGACTGTTTCCAGACTATCCCCCAGGCTCGTAGCCACAAACGTTTTAGAGAGGAGGGGGAAGGTACTTGTTGAAAGGCTTCAAAATACGCATTTTCAATCTTTCCCTTTATAAAACACCCCTCGCCACTTCGAATTTCGGAGGGGTTGGGGCCGGGCCCTCAGGGCACCCGCCCTCTCTGCTGCGGACCTGCTACCCCCAACTCGTGCAAGTGTCTGTCGCCGAGGGCTTGATTAAAAATGCCGCCACAACACAGAAGTTCGTCGTTCCAACACTGACGACGCCCAGAAAGAGTAGCTATTGAACCTTACTTACCCAAAATATCGCTCGACATGAAACAGGTGGCGTCCCGTGCTATTGCGCACTTAGGTTTTATGCCCCGTGCATGCTGAATTCAATTTTCAAACTGAGCAATCAAGCATCACACAACGCTACCACTTGCAAGAGAGGACAGGTATACTCGCTTCATGAGCTGCAAATAGGCGCAGTGATGCGTTGGTGTAGCTGACTCATATTCATGCTGAAAGCAGTATACGCCAGACAAACGCTGTCTAATCGACGGGTTACGATAGCATTACAGCCTTTCAAACAAGGGTAATGATGGTGGGCTTGCGGAGCATCGCAGCACCTGCAAGTGCATTCCTTTATAGACAATATGAAAGTGTTATCGACCAACCGTAATAAACTAACCAGATTGATAGAGCTTCCATTGAAACTGCAAAGTTGGGTAATGATTGTGTAAGCACTGTCGGATAAAGAATTGTATTTTTTTGAACATGCATAATGAGCTTGTGAGTTCTGTCACGCGTCTTGTTAGGAAAAAAGGAAAAAGATAGGAAAAATGCATATCAATGCGCATAACAACGAGGTGCAATGCGTAAGCATCAATACGGTACATCTTCGTTGTTTGGTTCCAATAAAACGTTTTCTTGAAAGTTAGCTCACGTGTTGCATCCTGCCTTCTTGTGTGTGCGTTACTTCGCGCTGAATATAGTTTCAAGTCTCATCAATGAGGTGTAATTTCTTGCCTTGTGGCAATTGTATCGAAATGATATGCTGGTTTGCGTCGCCATTTCTGTAACGGCGTTCTAAGATAATTCAGAACATGCAGGCTTTGCCACTTTCGACAGCTGCTGGCGTCGGTAATGATGAAGAAATGCTCGCGAACGAACCAGCGAACCGTGGTTCATATATCAATATTTCATTAGCTCGCCTTAGAGTTCTTGCGCTAATTATTACGCCATGTGACAGTTCATAATGTTTGTGTTTCATGAAGTATTTTCATATGTAGACGTTGTCAGACCTGTGGTAATTCGCTGATTACTCTGTGTGTCTTGACAACATTTTTTTTGTTTTGCTTTCTTCAGGGAAACTACTTTGAACTTTTTATGGGACATGAGCCGGTTTTCGTCCGTGTCAACGGCTTCGATGACGCCTGTAATGTCACCAACGTAAGCTCTCAATCAATTGTTTGTAAGATGAAGCCTGGCGTTCTGGAACAAGGTTCATCTTTGGCGTTAGAGGTGAGCGAGCACCATCCGAGCAACTCCTCTATCATGTCTCGTTATATTGCGTTCGTGACTTTTGTTATTAGTGAAAGTGCGATATTTGGTCTGTATTTATTGCGCCGCATTTGGCTATGCCTAAGGACAAGCTTTCAATTTAGCAAAATAAAACAAAATCAATCAGTGAATCATCAATCAACAATTTATAAACTTGCTCATTGCGAGAAAGGTCATCACATAAATTTGTATATATTCTGTTACAGCCCGATGATAAATAGAAGCTTCATTCGTGAAGCCCCGAAGGGATTCTCAATCACGTGTGTAAGAGGGTCGTGCGGGTGGATTCCGTTTCGAACCGTATATAGGTACTTTTACAACGAAAGCTGTTGTGAGATCACTTTTCGGGTCACGTGCAGTTGTTGTCCGCCACCGCCGCTGTCACCGGTGTCTGTAACCACATCCTGCGAAATTAAAAAAAAATGGCCCCGAATCTGCATGTTACACTGCATATGTCGTCGAAAGACGATAGTCTTGCGTCTGGAGAGAGTGAACAAAACGTTTTATTTGATGTTCTGTGCAAGAAAATTGGTTATTGGTATTCTGGAGGCGCTGCGTTAGTGCCTCGAGCGTCTAGCGGAGGCGAACGAGCGCATCGAGGCACGTTAGACACGAGTGCCATCTGGCAGTTTGAAGACGAAGGAAGGCGTGCACGCCCGTGGAGAAAGAGAGAGAGAAGAAACTTTATTGAAGTGTATTTGCTGGGGTCAAAGGTGGCGGGAGGCCGGGAGACGGGCCCCTCTGTAACCCCCTTCCTCAGACGGCAGCCAGGCCTTGAATCTTGGCGGTGTCTTTGGCCAGCCGGACAGCCCAGAGCTGGTCCTCCGGGCACGTGCTGAGCAGCAAAGCCTCCCACTGCTCGACTGTGGTGATTATGAGTGTAGGGTTCGGGCTGTGTTTAACTGAGTGAGAAGCTGCGGGGCAGGCCCATATAATATAGTCGAGCTGGGCGTCAGGTGCACCGCACACTTTGCATTGTGGCGTGTGAACAGCGGGGTAAATACGGCTGTACAGTGACGGACAGGCGAAAGTGCGTGTCTGTAATTGACGCCAGGTAGTGGACTGCTGCTTACTAAGGCACTTGTCTGGTGGTGGGTATTTAAGTCTGGCCTTGCGGTATTACATTAGGATTTCTCCAAAGGTAACCATTCTGTCCTTCGCATCGTCGCGAAACGAGGAGACCATCATCCCTTGCTCAGCCGCGTCAGGTTGCGAGGGGTGGTGTTCTGTTGGATGACGTGTCCGGTGGACGAGAGCTTGGGCGGCGTCATGAGCGTGTTCGTTCCCCGCGAGCCCCGAGTGGCCCGGAGTCCAGATGATCTCAACGCGGCGACGACGTAACAGAGGTGTAATTGGGAGAATTCGGAGCGCCGGTTGGGAGATCAAACCTTCGGTAAAGTGTCGGGTGGCAGTCTTGGAGTCGCGGATGATGCAGGATGCTTGGGTTGAAGCGTAGGCGAGAGCGATGGCTGCTTCTTCGCCTTCTTCGGGTTTGTTTGCGCGAATGGTGCAAGTTGCGGTAATTATGTACTGCGGCCTGGTGGCGACAGCGAGAACCACGGCCCGATGCGTAGGATATTCCGCTGCGTCTACATACGCCACGTGCGTGGCTTTCACGTAGCGCTTGCCTAGTTGCTTGGCGCGGTCTACTCGTCTTTCCGCATCCTATTCAGGGTGCATATTGTGTGGTATGGGGGGAATGACGAAAGTGTTGCGAATGTCCGAAGGAATTGGGAGTGTCTGGGCAAACTGGGAGACATATAAGGTATGCCGAGTGCGCACATGAGATGACGTTCTGTAGGAGTTTGGCCTAATTGTTCGTAGTGCGATATACGTTAGGCTTCAATGAATTCGTCTATAGTATTGTGAAGTCCTAGGCCATTGAGTTTCGCATTAGGTGTAGACATGGGGAGATGCAGCGCGCACTTGTAGCAGTGCCTGATCATTATGCATGTTTTGTTTTTCTTGTCGGTGAGCGTAAGTTTCATAAATGAAGCAACGTAAAGGATTCTGCTTATGGAGAAGGCGGTCGCCAGTCGTATGAGATTAGCCTCTTTCGTGCCGTGCTGTTTAATGGCGATGCGGGAAATGAGCCTAGTAGTCTGATAGACATTATGGTGTAGTAGTTGCATTGTTCTCGAATTGCTGCTGTTCTGCTGCATGCGGAAGCCCTATACGCAAATGGTAGGGACTGTTCGTATAGGGCAATGCTGCACATGCATATTTATCGTGGGAAGGCCTCTGTTGTAGAGAGATCTAGGTCGATAGACGAGTAAATCTGACTTTTGGGGCGAGCAGGACAATCCTCGTTGTTCAGCGTAAGTTGTAATTCTATCAATCGCCAATTGAAGTGCATCTTGTATCTCTCCGTCACTACATCTGCCAATCCACAAGGTGATATCGTCCGCGTATTTGCTGTTGTGGAGGTGGGGGATATTTTCTAGAAGTGGTGGAAGGTGACGCATGACCACGTTGAAAATAAATGGAGAGAGGACCGACTTCTGTGGTGTCCCTTTCCCACTGAGAGTGATGGAAGGTGCAGGCAAATCGTTGACCGAGAGTGTGGCTGTCCAGTCCGTTAAAAAGTTGCGGATGTAGTGGTAGGTACGGGCGCCTACGTTGAGCGTGGCGAGGGCGTCAAGGATGGATGAATGTAGCACATTGTCAAATGCCTTGGTAAGGTCTAGCCCCAGAATAGCACGTGTCCCATTGTCACACAGGTCCCGTTCATTAGGGGGGCGATCGCCGGGCTAATTCCAAGGGTCGAAGTATCGGCCCCCCCGAACCGCAACACGAAAGCGGGGACAATTTAGAAGTGGTCCTTTTTGGCGCGCCAGCGGACGCCGGCTGTGGCCCAAAGAACAAGTCAGAGCCGAGAGTTGATATACCAACAAAATTATATTCTCAATAATGGCAGATCAGAAAAACAACACACAAATGTGCTCACTCCACAATAGCTGCATACAATATGTCACCAATCAAACAACGTACTACACAGTGCAATCAGCCACACTCGACACAACGGACACAGACAACAATACACACTACAATGCAGTCGCATGCATTGAACAACCAAGACACTTAAAGACTAAAGAGATAGAAAACCTATTCAGTCCAAAGTTCTTAGAACAAAAGTCTGAATGATACTCTTCCGAGAATCACTCACTCAAAGTCCAGCGTTGTTGCCGTTCCGCTGCCCCGAAGTTTCTCTTCCAGGAATCCTCGCGTCTTCAATTGGCCACTCTCCAAGCTTCAAACTTCTTCGCCAGAAACACGTCGGCTGCACACACACGCAGCTGCTGCCACGCGTCTTCGCTCGATAGCGGTAAACTCACGCTCTTGCCTTTAGCTCGAACCTTTACCCCTCAGGTGGAAATCCTCTTCTTCTCCTGCTTTGTCGCTACGGACAAAACCTTCGCCGACTACACGGCGGAATCCCTACGCGCTCTGGCGCTAACTTCCGTCTTCTCCTGATCTCTCGTCTCGGTTGCTCGGTTAAATACCTTCCGCGCGACATTCCAGAAGGTTCTCGTCATTTCGTCGGCGCGATACGCAGCGAAGGCTGGGGAGAGGCGCGAGACTGTACGAGGGCCGTCCCCAACCGATGACTCAACCCGGCAGAACACGCCCCTTTCCTTCTAGAACTTTCCAGTGCTTGCCCGGCCGCCGCTGTGGGGTGAGGAGGTTCATTGGCGAAGCCACGCTTCCGAGGGGAGAGCGTCGCGTGCCCGGGGAGCCTTTAGATGTTTGTTTTCTTCTTTTTTTTCGTTGACCTCGCGGCCTCACTCCGGCGCGTTATCGCAAGAATTTGGCGGCGCGCCCATTTTGAGTGCTCGTTTTGTGACGCCCATACCGAGAGCCGTCTTCGCCGTCGATAATGTGACTTTTCAGTTGCAGCGTCACGTCTTTTGTCGAAAGTTTAGGGCAAAATTCGAACATTGTATGTGGGTAGAGGGCATGTTCTTCCATGTACCTTTGTAGTCGAGTGTGAATAACATGCTCGAGTACCTTGCCGACTCAAGATGTGAGAGATATCGGCCGAAGGTTCTCGATAGTGAGTGGTTTTCCTGCGTTAGGTATCAGAATTACTGTGGTGGTTCTCTACGTTGTCGGTATTTCTCCTGACTCCCAAACCATTTGCAAATAAGATGTGAGCGTTTCAAATGATTCTTCGTTCAAGGTTTCGTAAGATTTTATTTCTAATTTTATCCGGGCCAGGCACTGAGTGGGGTCTCAGTTGTGAAACTGTGGACCTTACTTCCGCTTTTGTAATCTGGGAGTCGAGGGATGGATTATTCACCCCAGTGTAGCATGGGAGATCAACCGAAGTAGCACTGACAACGCACCGACTTGATAGGTCCTGGATAAGGTCTTCATTGGTATCTGGATAATTGTGCAGAGCGGTGATTAAGGAGTGGCGCTGAACAGTTTTTGTCGATGTTGGTTCTATCGTACGACGAAGAATATTCCACGTTTTGGGCACGTTAGGTAAGCATTCCATAACGTTACAAAGCTGATGCCAGTTCTGGCGGGAGAGTTGAAGAGTGTAATCTTCATGATATAGCAATGCGTTTGCGTAATGAGCAGTTCAAGTTGTTGGCGTTATAGCGCTTGCGCAGACCAGCGATGGCCTCCCACAAGTGCAGCAGATTGGTGTATACCGTGTCGCCTACGGCGTCTTCTGGGGGAGTCTTGGTAGCACGTTTGAACGTCTCGTAGTAAGGAAGCTATTCATTGGTCGATCGAGGGGGCAGATTCTGGAGAGGCCGTTGCCCGCGATTCGCGGAAAACATCCCAGTCATCCAGGACAGGCTGTTTAGATTTCCTGCGCTGCAGTCCAGCCTTGACGATCGTTTGTATTATGTAGTAGTCGCTGCCTAGATGTTCATTAAGGTTGGACCACTCTGCATGCGTAATGTTCGCAGTGAAAGTGAGGTCAGGAGTGGTGTCTCTGGCAACGC